TGTGTGTGTGTGTGTGTGTGCGTGCGCAGTGGTAAAAGTATGAAGACTGATGCGATGCAGTTTGAAATGAAAAATAATAGAAGCGATGAGAAAAGAAGGTTCATCTCCTACATCTTCCCTTTTAAATCTGATCAAATCAGAGACTGGAAGAAATGTATTGATACCAGCCGTGAAGGAACTGGTGTCTGACTGGCAACAGATTGAGTTTATTTGACTGATGAGTAAAAACTCCATGAATAAGTAACTCTAACACCTTCCCTGCCTCCAGGACCTGTGTCACAGGCACTGTTGTGGCTCTTATGTTGATCTGTAGCTAAACTCCTCCTGTTCCTTTCACATAGTAGCTTAGCCTCATTTCTCTCTGTCTCGTCTTCATCCCTCCCACTCCTCATTCAGGAGACATGCCTCGATTAGAACCTGTTTTTTAAATCTCTGAACTCTACTGGAGGAATAAACACAGTTTTTTCTTTAAAATATTTCCTCTTCTGTTAATTTGATGAAGATTATGATGGAAAGCACATTTCAATACTCAGTCCTAAAATCTGACATATTGTTCATTACACATAGTTTTCATACAAATACATCAACTGCTCAAAGATCCTCAGCGATCCTGTTTGGAAGCATCTGTCTTTCTCATGTATCTTCCCTCTTTTATCAGATATACCTTGTCTGTGCATTTCAATGATTGATGGTTTCTGTTTTTAGATAAATTATATTTAACTCTGTTCTATGCTCCTTGATAAAGAACTGCAGCATTTTATGTTTTCCATCTTATCTCACATAATATATATATATATATATATATATATTCATATGTATAAATAAAACACTGCTTTTCAATTTCACTACAGATTAAACAAAGCATGTTAATTACTGTAGCTAACCAACCTTACCTTAGCCCGTCAACACAAATAGCTGCACAATTAAAAACAAATCAAAGGAATCAAAGGGGAAATGTTCCATCACAATATGTGACTATTGTCTGGAGTAAAGAAAGTACAACATGTTGAGAGATTTCTCCAACATGAAGAGAAAACTTCAGAACAAGGTCCTGCACATCCACACTGAGGTGTTCAGTTCTCAGTCTGGCTGAATACACCTCCGCTCAGGTGGAAGTTATCTGATGTGGAGTCAAATTACAAATAATATGCAACAAAACTGTGGTAATTCACTGTTAATCTGTACCAGGCCACACAGTCATGATGGATGTTTAAACAGGCAGAATGAGTGAGTGATAACTGCTGGTGGGTGGGACACGCAGGTGTTTTCAGGGACATCTTAACAAATAGTGTAATGATGAAGTTTGATTTGTTTACAAGAAGAGAGAAACAGTGATGAAAGCGGCTTCACTTCATTATTGGATTTCAATGTTGCTGTAGTTTAGTAAATTTTCTAGCATTTTTTACTAAATAAATCTTTAACATGAATGCATGACTGACTGATTATAACACAGCACCAACTACATTGATTAATGAGCAAATTGAATGTAAAATCATTCTGTCACTACTTTTATATTTTCCAATACCTACATTGCACATTTGTACATTCATTAACAGTAATCCATCAGACTTCCACCTCAGTGCATTTTAAGCGTGTTCTTATCCACAGTGACTGGGTAGGAACAGTTGTATAAGCTACCAGATCTCCAACATAATAAGCCACTAATACTCAGGAGGTCAGAGGTCATAGAATGCACAGTGTTTCTGTTTCTAAAAAAAACTGATTTAGAATCTGTTGAGTCTGAGATAAGATGATTTGATGACTCTTTTAGCATGTTTCTTTCTTTATCCAGTTTTTAAACATCTTTAAGGAGAGTCTCAGCTACATCAGTAACTGTTGTGAAAGAATTAACATATAGTAATTATTCATTAAGGGCATGTTTCCTCCCTTGCTAGTACCTGTCGGTTCTCACTACAAATTATTTTAAGTGTGACTACAGTGCTGTCAGAGCATATTTGCAGAAACACACAAATAAGAGAATAGATAGAAGTCCTATATTTCTTCTCTTGCACCATTCACACAGTATGATACCGTGTTCGTCTACAGACACGAGTAGGGAACTATCACTTCATGTTATCATCGCCTGCTTTCAACAGTGTTCATAATCTGGTCTTTATCTGTTACCTATTTTATTCCAATAGCTGTAATCTCATCATACTGTATGTAATCCTGCAGTTACTGTTAGTAGTGAATGGTAAACGTGATATGTGGATAATCTGGTCAGACTAAGCTGCTGGTCTGTGTTTACTCTTCTGTCTGGGCACAGGCTGATCCTGAGCCCAACGCCTCCACAGCTCACCGGCAAAAAAAACCCCACCTCAGCCTTATTAGTTACATGTAACCGATAACACACCCAATGTGTCAGCATGTATGTTACATAGAGGTTAAAAAAATATATCTCACTTTTTATTATATTTTCTAAACAGATTGATTATTTAAGTCCCTCAACCAAGATGGAATGGTTGAATTTGTAAACACAGCAAATTCTTGTGTTCATCCCAGAGTTCATTTGTCTGCTCCTCGCCC